TAAATTGAACAAATTTGGTGTGTAAGTCTACTGAAAAAAATTACTTAAAATCTTTGCCTTTTATAATTCAGTAACTCCCCCCCCTCCCCAAAGGGTGGCGTTGAAAAATTTTCCACTCCTTAGGGGGGCGGCAGCTTCAAAAAGGTTGAGGATCACTGATGTAGACCATATGACAGACAGGATTGTTATGATATTATGGTCCAGGCACAATCAGAAATTACCCAAGGCTCAGGTTCAGACTATCAGAGAGGCTCTTGCAAAAATCCTACTTAGGAGGAAGATATTACTCATGAGTAGAACTTTACATGTGAGGAAGTCTGCCTTTGATTCTTTATACCACTACTTCTACTGCTAGTGTTTGACTCAGCCTGCCTTATGCTCCCCTAAGACTGGATAGGCTTCAACAGCCTTCTTGGTGTAAGGGAAAAACTTCTTGCATCCTGAAGTATAGATCTCCCCCAACTGATTGTGAGCCTTATGTTCAATTTCAGATTTCTTAAGAGCTTCTCAGAGAAGTTCCAGATTTTCTAAAGAGGAATACTCTGGGATGGAGATTGGATCTAACAGTTGACAAATTTGAATAGTTATCATTAGGCTTCAGGAAGAAATTGGCTGCATGTTGTTTTTATTATAAACCATAAAAAAAAACTTTGCCAGTGGTATAACATGTTAAATAAATTGTGTGTTTAAAAAGGGAGGGAATCAAGATGTAAGTAGATTTATAACACAAATGTCTTTTATTATATAGTTAGGTAAAGCTAAATGTATTGTGTTAATGCAAAGATATAGCTCACTGATTTTATCAACACTATCTTATATGCTAAAAAAATGAGTGCATGATCATTATTAGCAGAGGGATAGACAATGTGGTGCCAGTGCATTCATGGACATCGTTAAGTTCCCTTTCCCAAGTGACTTTAAAGATTCAACAAACAAACAAACAAATAAATAAATAAATAAATTCTAAGTACTCATAAATCAAAGATCCAAATCACCTAAGTTCTGTAGGCATTTCCAGAAAATGAAAATATTGGATAGATGCATTGAGAGCTTTGTTTGGAAATATATCCCCTTGCCAGAAAAAGAAATAAGTACAGTGGTACCTCGGGATATGAACGCCTCTACTAACGGACGTTTCGGGTTACGACCAGCTTCGGCAGGAAAATTTACCTCGGTTTATGAACTCGCCTCTAGTTACGAACCGGATCCGCGGCCGTTTTCCCTGCTGCCACGCGGTCGCGGCTTCCTGTGGGCGAGGTCGCGGTAGCAAGGAGACGTTTGGTGAGGCTTGTGGTG